AGTTTAAGACTTGGTTTTGTACTTGTTTCAACTGAGAATTCAAAGCCAGAGTTAGCTTTACAGCAAGAGGCAGGTCAGGTATGGGAGTTCAGTTTGTGCCCTTTGCCAACCTGAACATGATTTCCTCATGCTGAGTACTAGTAATTAACTGATCTCTAGTGAATTACAAGCACCTGCGTTATCCGTCCTCGCTACCATGAGAATTATTAAGCAGCAAACTGTGAAGCTAACAGCTCGTTAGAGGCTCTGCAAAACACAGCCCGAGTCCCACAGCTCCCAGGATATCACAGAGTAGAGAACAGCAATGGAAACAAGAAGACTGTGTAACGGGAAAATGACTGGGAAGGTCTGGAATGTGGGAGCAGCAGGAGGATCGGCAGAAGGGCTGTCAGAGGCACCCAGATTAGCAGGTCATCAAGATCTTAGCACAGCAACATGCAGCCTTTTAGGTTACTTGGAATAGAAGAGGTGGCCTATACCCAGACTAAAACAGACAAGCTGTTGAGGGGAGATGTTGGGAAGAACTGGCTGGAGCTCTTGGCAGTCTGGAGAAGGCGAGAAAGGACAGTGAGGGAATCCCAATGACTTGCAGAGGTGGGATAAGATGGATACAAATTCACCAGGCAGCTCCTAAAGGACACAGATGGCACTTCCAATCCCCAGTCAAAAAAGAGACTGGAAGATTGAAGAGAACTTCCGAGCGGGCTCTCGGCTGCCCTAAGGACCCCTGTCCAGGCCAGCTGGGCACACACACCTTTGTGCCTGCTCACTGCACAGGCTGCTGGAGTACCAGCACCTCGGTGCTCATGTGTGGGGGTGTGAGTACAAGCAAAAGCAGTTACAAAATAAGGTCACCTCCCTTTCCGAGGAGGCCTCTCCTCTCTTGCAACATTACTCCCACCCACAGGTGAGAAGAAAAACAGCACAACGCAGCCGGTGGGGAGCTCCAGACTGAGGAATGAAACCAAGGGAGAGGAGACAAAGGAACTTAGAGAGAAGATAACTGTGATGCCTAGGGGATGAAAAGCAGAAGTCTGTTCAGACAGAACGAAGGAATGATGGTTCATCAGGAGGAAAGACATGGAAGCAGCAAGAGTAGTTTATGAAAATTTAAGGGAAAGTGCAGAAAGAGGGTTGCAGGAAAAAGGAGGATTCACAGAAAGGACAAGAGAGCACGGGCTTAAGCTCTGTCAGGGGAGGTTTAGGTTGGATATTAGAAAGAAGTTCTTTACAGAGAGAGTGATCAGGCATTGGAATGGCCTGCCCAGAGAGTTGGTGGATTCACCGTCTCTGGAGGTTTTTAAGACGAGGCTGGATGTGGCACTGAGTGCCATGATCTGAGTAATCACAGTGGGATTGGATCAAGGGTTGGACTTGATGATCTCGGAGGTCTCTTCCAACCCAGTTAATTCTATGATTCTATGAAATGATGGCAAGATGTCCTGAAGACAAAGGTCCTGAAGACAAATGTTTCAGGAAACAGGAAGATGGAGGGAAAAAAAGGGTATTGGAAAAATAAGCATGCAGGAAGCAGCTATTGTGGAGGAAGACAGGATTTGCATCCTGAATACAATGTTGTCATATTCAAGGACAGATGGGCACCCAGGAGGTATCTGAGGCAACTTTTTGTGCAAAGGATTTCTATGGGAAGGGAGCATTAACACCAGTGGAATGTGGCAAGGATGACAGAATCATAGAATAGCTTTGGTTGGGACCTTGGTGGGTCATCTGGTCCAACCCCCTGCTCAGAGTGGGAAAGAAAATAATACCTAGGAGATGAAAATTCCCTTACATCTTCAAAGATATAAAATTAAGCCTTAGCTATAATGCCAGAAACGCGTATCTGAAGTCAAACCTTCTCTATGGTTGACGTTCCCCTGTGGAAGCAACGTTCATTTTCCAGATTACTGGAATTGCTACTATAACTCTGGATTCTTTGCTATGAAGCACAGAGGGTTTTATCGCATATCAAAAGGCGGCAAAGGACACACATGACAATCAACCTGTAGCTTGCTCTAAACACACATGCATATCTGATGCACAGTTGACAGCAGCACAAAACAAAGATAGGAAAAATATTCCTCATGCAAACTGGGTTGGTGGTTAATCAAGTGAATCGTACCTTTTAGAGAGGTATCCTAGCAACCCCCCAGCAGTCACAAGTCCTGGCTGACAGTGCACACTGATGCAATTGTTCTCCTCCTGCAGACATCAAAACTTTGCAGCTAATCAAAGAGATAATTCGAAACAGGAGAGCACGTTAAATTTGATCCAACAAAAGGGAATTTTATAAATGAGCAATGTCACCCAGGGCATCTCTTATGCTTAAAGTTGTCATCTTGGAACAAGAGCAGGTCAGGTTTAGCAAAGCCGTGCAATGTTGGGAACAAAACCTCCCTTCCTGCAACTGGCAGCACGATTCTTCTGAAGGCACTCGCTTCTACTGCATTGATTTTTGCAGGTCTGTGCTTCAGAGCACCATGCAGCATTCATTACTGTTTTCTTGAATAGCAAAAGCTTACCTGAAGCACCTTCTAGAGCACAAGAATCAGCAAAAGCCCTGCTGATGCTCTCACAGCCAACTGTCCCACTACGTTTCCATGAGCAAATTCATACTCCTACCATGCCGGATTAGATATTCTTTCACATCTCCTGACACTGCACATAGACTCAGGGCTGGCTGGATCAGACCTTCTGTCTCAGGACCAGCAATGAACCTGAGGCTACCAAGAAGCCTCAGCTCATCCTCTGCAAGTGTTCCCCTTATGGAAGCATTATAGATTTGCATTTCACCTCTTTAGGCATGGATGCAACAGGTGAAGCAAAATCACAGACATCAGATTCACCAGGGTTCTGACAAAATCACTTTTCTTTTTACTCTTCAGCTAAGCCCAAAGATACCACAGAGCTGACAAAAATATTCCATTTAAGCATTTCCTAGTTCAGTTTTCTTACCACTGTAGCGTTCTTCAGGCTTCAGTTCAGAGTTGTGAAGGGCATCCCAAGATCCCCTCTGATGGTTTACATTTCTTCTGGACTACAGAAGATTTACTATACTCCCCTCATGCTCTACAGTCATCTCCTCTCTCAAAAAGGGAAATCTTTATTCTTAAAACTTCCTGTTTTCTCTGTCAGATAGGCCCTGACACTTGCCCACCCTTTCATCAGATGCTCCTCAGATACTTTGCTTTGATGACCACTCTCTTGGGGATCAGAACTGGAAGACCAGTTTTCCTGGGACAGTAATAATCTCCCTGAATATCCTGCTAAAACTGTTCATCAAACTTTAATGATCCTTTCTTATTGGTATGGAGGAATTTCTCATCTTTGGTGGTTCAGAAGGAAAGCAAAGCACAACAGAAGAAACAGCCATACATCTAAACATCAAACAGAACCTACAACTGGACATACACATCAAATCATATATAAATCATCAAAGCTTCTGTGACCTACTTTTTACTGCACAAGCTGGATTTTTTTTTCAGTCAATCAAGTGCTATTAAACGCTGCCACCACTAAAAGCAACAGGAAAATTACCCATCTACGGTACCCAAGACCAGGGATCCAGAGGACTACAGGACATCAATGTGCCCAGTTGTAAGGTCTACAGATCCTTTTATGACCTTGCAAAAGTTTCTGCCAGTGAGTAGAAAACTACTACTCAATAGCAGAAACACTGCTTACAGATGTTAGAAGAATCCAAAGGTTCCCCCCCCCCAATCAGAAGATTACCTCTCAAAGTGCTGCCTTTATACATTTTAACACTAATGGTATTTGTATACCAGTAATTCTAAAACTAGAAAGTGCTGCAGGAGACGAGAATAAATAAGCTGTAGAGGTGGACAGCAATGAGGGGAAAAGGAAGATTATTCCTGTGATACCGTTCCCAGCAGATCAATTTCTTTTCACCTTCCTAAAGCAGATACACCTTTTATTATTTGTGCAAGCCACCACAGTATTTGCTTTAGGAAGCGTCCAGTAACAGGATGTGAAAATTTGTGAACTCAAGAAGGGGCTGATAATATAAAACAGGTTAGAAACTATACATTTGTAATTGAAACAGCAGGACACCTCAGTTCAGCAAAGCTGACTTGCAAAGAAACAAAAAACAGCCCTCCTCTCCATACACATGATCCTTAATAACTGCAGCAGCTACATCATTGTTTTATGCCTTGGAATCTTCAGCCACAGGAAAGAAAAATAAACAACCCACCACCCTCCAAAGTATCTTCAGGAGCAAGACGCCTTCTTCTAGAAGGGCAGCAGTCACCCACAAGTAGGACAAGAAGTTAAGACAAATAAGCACCCACTCACAAACACCCACAGTGTCTACTCACAGACTTCTCCTACCTCTTACACCACAGTATTCTCCCCAAGAAGTCACTGCAGTAGAGTAACACAGACAAGTTACATTCACTGCCACCAGTCAGAATTGTCCTGATATTCTGACAATCTGCAAGCGAAATGAACCTGATAAAATCTGTAATATTACAATGAATGTAACTAGGACTGTAAGCAAACAGGTGAACACGAGCTGCTCTTCACTACTGAGCATCAGAACAGTCCCACACACTGGGTCTGGATCTGTGACTAATTTTCTTTCTGAATGGGGTAGCAAACAAAGTGACTGCATGATGTAGACACCAGCCTTTCTTTTCAGAAGAATAGTTATGTTCAGAGAAATCTTGACTCAGAGCATCTTGAAATCATGAGATTTCTCTGTATTTTAGTATATTCTGAATGAGGCTCATAGCAAGCATATCAGAGAGGCATTTCAAAATCTGTTGTTCTAGTAAGGAATGACCTTCAGCTTATTTTCTCAAATGTTTCTGCTAAATCCTTCATTACCTACCTTTTTAATTTGTGTACACAGCACCAACCATACGTAACATCACTAGCAATGTTGCTACCAGCTTCTCCCCCAATATCAGTACACAATATAAAAAGTCAGAACTTTGTACTAAAGAGGATCTACACACAAAAAGTTTACTCAACTCATTTAATAAAACCATTTTGTTAAAAAATTACTTAGTAATGATTGGAATTTTACATAGAAAATTCAGAAATTACAAAAAATGGCATTATATAACAAATATAATCTGTATAATATGAGAAGAGTTAGACACATTTGGTATAAAGGTCCACAGAAAACCTACACAAAAGAGAGATTGGCTGTTCCTGAGTTAATTATGCCTCTGCTGATGTTATGAGATAACATGACAGCAGCATAAAATATTCTCTTTCTAAGAGAATTTGTGCTAGCAATGTCTCTTCTATCCATTTCATGACTTATATTACACATGCCTTCTCCTGGCACAGTTAAGAGGCTCTCCAAATGTGTGAGGAAGAAAATGTGTGAGGCCTAAAAGAAGCACTCCAATTGAAAAGCAGTGTATTGTGAGCAGCCTATAGGTAAAAAAAAACCCAAAAAACAACAAACCAAGCACTGAACCTCTCCCCTGTACATAAACCCATATATGCAAATTATTCCTTCATAAGGCTTTACAATAAATCTGACATCTTTCAAATCTATATCTAATAAATATTACATGAAAATAGTTCTTCAGTATTTACATATGAAACATATAAAAATATGATCACTGTAAGACTACTTCTTCAATTTCATCTTCTAAAGAACCAAGGGTCTTAACTCCTGGCTTGCTTGTAGTGTATTGCAAACGGTGTCTGTTTAGGTTTCTTCCTTCACCGAAAAGCTCACTGTCTTCTTTGAGTTTACTGTTTTTATCAACAAAAGGAGTATTACTAGAGTCCCAATCTACATCAAAAGGTGGTGTATCGTTATTTTTAGAGAGAACAATGGTACTGGCACTGCTTCCAAACAGTTGTTCCATTAAATTGGACTTCTTTTCTTTTTTACTATCGAAATCTGCATTTTCCTTAACATTTTCTTCTAATTTGTCACTTTTTTGAGTAAGCCAACTTGGTCTCCCTGATCCTTTCCCAAAGGAAGGTATGTAACTACCAAATGTTAACTCACTACTTAAATCTACAGTCCTTACATTTCGTTGCTTCTGCCTTTGTGCTCTTGTGGCATCCTCCTGGCTGTCCTTTAGAGGAAATCCATTAGTAAACTTCCCTGGAATGTCAAAAAATGGATTAGTTTTTTCCCTTTTCTCCAGGGAATCAGATTTTCTTGCTGTATTTATGAGTGGTGCTGGGGAATCTGGTTTCATGTTTGCTGTACTTTGAATTTCTCTATCAATTTCTTGCATTTTAGCAAGCAGGAACTCTCTTTTTCGCCGCTCTTCCAGCATTTCAGGGCTTTCACTCTCTACTTCACGTTTGTGGATTTCTGTCTCCATCTTTATTTTCTCTTCTTTATCCAATGAAAAGTTGCTTTCTTTTTTCATTTTGTCATATTCTTTCCTTTCCCACTCTGTGAAAAATGTTTAAGCAATATTTAAAATCTTTCAATTTTAATGTGCTCTTAAAAGATTTTGAAAATAACGCAAGCAAAAACCATTGAGTTTTTAACATGCTCTTCTATGCACAGTATGGTTTTCCTACCGTAAAAATAAATTCTTCAAAAATTACAACTAAATCCACTCCTGGTTCTCTGCTAAAATATAAAAATCTATTGTTATCTTCCAAAGGCATCCAGACATTATCCATGTTTTAGAATTTTCAGAGCAATTTCATTTCTGCCAATTGCCTTCCCACTTCCTTGGTTTGAATGAAAATTAATACAACATTACTGATTTTAATAGTTCTGACTTGCACAGTACTTTATTTTACTTTTCATCATCACTGACATTAGGCCAGTCCTGGGATATGTGTTTGGGGTTTTTTTACCATAAAGATAACTACTCCTGTGAAGCTTTCAGGTCTCAAAGTCATAGGAGTCATCTTCTGTTTCAAACAGGGAACGATTTAAAATATACTGCATCTGCTGCATGCAGAAAACACCTTTACACAAGTGTTCTGTGTGGACTCAACGAGAGTGACTGTGCACAGCTATAAAGGGACACCAAAGGTACAAAACAGTAACAAACTTATAGACAGAACCTGTAAATGCTTATGTGTAGAAGAAAGAGGAAGCTTCTCAAATATTTCTCTCTTCAAAATATTTTTCTATCGAGACAACAGACGTGGTTGGCCAAAAGTTGAATATGACTACTTGGCCCCTGCAACATACTGGCATTCTCCTTTCAACACTTTACTCAAATTTCTGAATTTTGTTTTCACAGAGTTCCAGGTTATCTACTGTAATTCAGCTCAAGTTTTCAGAAATAACTGCAGCAGTTCAGTCAAAATATTTAAGAGATATTTTTTCAATAGTATATCATTCTACCAAATTAAGTAAGGAGCTACCTTTCTTTCTGTAAGGTGGGGAAAATACCAGCTTGTATCGTACGATGGGTAAGGTGGTTAAATCATCTTATTCAGAGACATAACAGAGCAGATTCTTGGCTCATGTCAGTTGTGTCAGAAGATTTTCACAGACTTTACCTCTGAAAGCAGCTACAGATTTTTAGAATTCTTGTCATATAGAGTAAGTGCTACTGTTCATTAATTATAATCACCAAAAGAGTTTAACATGACAGGGTGAAGTCCATCTAAAATACCTGAGATTGACTTAAGAATATAAGCCCTTAAGATGCTGTGAAAATCAAATGAATAAAAAAGCAGTATTAAAATATAGAAACTGACATTTCTCAAATAGCCACACCAAATGATTCAGATAATCAAAACCGAAAAGAGAAACTACAGTTTCAAATCATGTAAGTGAAGTAGATATGTACTGAAAAAATAGGTTATGTTAAACAAAGGAAATTTGTTCTACAATAGTAAAAATCTACTGCCTACCTCAATAACGTTTAGCAAGTCAGAGATAACATCAGCATTTACCTGCTATCTCATCCTTGTTTTGTGAAGCAAAATCTCTCAGACTCCAACACTTTTTTGTGGACAGCATTTTTTGCTGTTGCATACTTAATCACAGCTGAGTAGAGGGCACAGATTATTCTATATCCCATATTTCTTTCTGATTCTTCTTTGCATAATATAACTGAAAATAATTTTCCACTGTAGTGATCTCTGCAAAATCATTTTGCTCTTCTCACCAGAAACCAGCAGCCTCATTTGATTAGTATTCTATGGCGCATTTTTCAGCCTTCAGCTGCCTGTTTCCTTACCGTCATGAAGTTTTGGAACTCTCTCCTCTAAAGCCGGCATTTCTTGAAAATGTTTCAGTTTCTCTTCCCTTTCTCTGTCTTGGTCTTGTCTTAAGAGGTCTGTTTGCTCTTTCCATCCTTTGTCTCGAGTTTCTTTTTCCTGAAATACATTAATACAAAATCGGAAACTGATGGGGAAAAACAGTCAATAAAACAAACAAACTAACAAAATCATAAGAACTTCTATGTCATTCTGAAATCACATTCTTACTGCTACACATAAAATGAGTAAGTCACCTTAAACCAAACCAGCTTTGACAACCCAGGGGTTTGGCCCCAAAATATCATCACTTCTAGCATTGTTTTATACATCTGAAGCAAAATGAATAGACAGTCAACTCTATTTTGTATTACACATTTCAGGGAAGTTGCAGCTCCAATGCCATAAAGGAAAATTATCACTGTCAGGGTAGTTTTCTTTAGAAGTCAGAAGTTGTCTTCTTTAAGGGCCTTACCACAAGGCCAAACCTCACCACCTTATTCTTTTAACAAGCAAGCAATTAGTTACCCTCTACTTCCATAATCAGATCTTTTTAGTCAAGCAAGTGGGTTGTAGATTCAGACAGTTTCTTAAATTTTTGAAGTATTAAGTACCAAACAGTGAAGGAGAAAGATTTAATCTTGGATGACAAATTCAGCTAGCGAGTATATATATATACATTTAAAAGGAAGGAACCTGCAGAAAAGACAGAGATTTTTACTGGTGATATTAATAACACAGAAATGTAGCGGTAATGAAGAGAAATTATTTCTAAGAGAAATAGTTACTACTTAATGAACAAAGAAAATATGACTATCAGCCAAAAAAACTTCAAAGTGTTTTCTGTTCATGTACAAGATTATAATTGTTATATTAAAAAATATAAACTACATAACGAGATGGTGGCCGGGTATTTAAAATGCTTCACTTTAAAAACTGACTACCGAAACTTAATTTGCATTATTTAAAGCAATAACCACATAGAGATCATATAGCTGGATTTCATGAGTCCAATTGCACTTGTACCAACTGTATGGTTCTGTACTCACACCCCCAAATATATACTGGAATAATATACACATTAAACTATATCCATGGTTACAGAAAGAATTTTGGAAGAGAGAAGATAAAAATGAAACAGCCATGAAAAAGCTACAGCCCTAACTGGAAGCCAGTCAATAGCATCCTCGGCACATTACTTCTGAAAAATAGCCCTAGCCTTATTTGTACAATTTGTACCAGAATCTGGCTCATTCTGATTTTTAAGACTATACAAATCTCTTTGATTTTAGCCTGGGGTCACAAAAGTATTAGCAATACTTCTAAGGGTACTATTTTTATAATAAGAAAGGAAATGGAAAACAAAAAGAACGAAGCACATTGACAAAGCTAGAAAACCAGAAGAAATACCAGCACTGTGACAATAAGAGGAAGTGTTAGATTTATGCATTGTGAAATAAATCCGGAAAGTAAAAGAAACCATAATTAAGACCAAAGAGAAAAGAGAGAAAAGGCAGCCATCGCCGTTTAACAGATTGCTCAAATAAGCATAGAAACAAAGAAAACGGAAGAAAACCAAAATAAAGTCTAAAAACTTGAAAAATATGACAGTGGCAGAAGAAGAAATAAATTGAGCTAGTGGCTCAAGACATAGAATATGATAAACCTGTCACAAAAATGGAGCATGTTATTTCTGGAAGGGTAAATTTTCTCTTAAAACCCAGGATGTTTTCTAAATCGTATTTTCTATGTATTTATATTTGTATATTTACACATATTTTCTAAAAGCTCTGCCTTAAATAGTCTGATAGGTGAATTATCCAGAGCAGGTCTCAAATTTTTATGGAACTCACTATTTTAGGAAGAATTCCTTCTTTCTTGTTTACTGTGTCACCACAGACAAGTTCTGATTCTGGAAGAAGTTCTGCTGGTGAGAAGTATCCACTGGTTTGTACACCTTTTGTGAGTTGTGGTCCTTTTTTAATATTTTGGTTGTTGGCTGTAGAAAATACAAACTAATTAAACTGTGGTTTTGCTCGAAAATATCCTGCTATATACCTGCCTCTCATTTTTCATGATTTGCAGCAAACATAAAAGACTGTACTGAAGCCAACAGAAGTGGAAAGTATTGACAAGTTTCACATAGTTGTTGTAAGCATCTGCAAAAGCTAATTATAAGAAAAAAAATTTATAAAAAAATGCATGCAAAAATTCTGCTGAAAAAAATAATTTAAAAACTACCTTAAAGCTACTTACAGTGTCATTTGAGTATATTGAGTATTTGTTAAAAATCCCCACAAAATATCTCACTCATCTTACTGCTTGTCACAGAAGCCAACTCATAAAATTAACATTCACTTATTTGCATCTTTGAAACCTGTACACTTATCTCTAAGGAATAACATTTTAAAAAATCTGAACCCTAAATGGGATAATAGTAGAGCATCTATAATAAAATGAGCAGTAGACAAACTGTTTGAAATACTGGCATTAAATATTTAAAACAGTCCCATAAATTTCTGCTGCTTCTGACAAATAGATTCTACTGATTCAGTGAAAATAGCCCAAGTACACACACAGAACACACATATTTATGTGGATAGCATAAGGTTTGAGGCTGTCTTGTCACACCAGAAGAAATCATTGTACAGATAATTTTAGAAGATTATGTTCTGGGACATATGCACCCTTTGAGGAAAAAAGGAGTGCAGCTCATATGACAGACAGTAAATTTGAATCAGTAAAAAATAAACAAAACAGATCACCAAAATATTCATAGCAGTGAAAATACATATTTTTAAAGCTTCTGTAATTTATTGTCAAGTGGACGTTACCTATGACCTATCAGAGATTTTTAACAACCTTCCGCTCCTCCTTTACCCAAGAACATCTGGTATGAAAGGAGTTAAGTCTCCTGTTTGGTAAAGTTCTGTGTTTTGGTTCTGCTGCAGTTACAGAACAGTCAACAACCCATGTGCCCTCCTTTGTGCCCAGTGCTGTGAGGAAAGCAGCACAAAAAGATAAACGTTCCTGAACAAGCAGCACCAGAGTGAAACACCAAGTGTCACGAAAGGTGTAAGCCAGCTGAGTCATTTCAAAGCGGTGCCAATAATTTTTCTTTATTGCTTTATACAAGTTACCTCTTTTTCTTTGTACAATATCCGTGTCTTTTCTTGGTGTTAGCTTCAACATACGATTAGCATATATATTTTTTGTTTCAAGTTCTCTTTCTTTTTCCTGTGAATGAAAGAGGTAGGTATAACAATGAGTTATATTTCATTTATGAGTTATATTTCATTTACTGGAGCCCCTGCTGGTCTAGTGGTAAAGGCGCCGCGCTATCACCGCGGAGACCCGGGTTCGATTCCCGGTCAGGGCCACTCCCGGGCAGGTGGGGCTCGTTAGCCCTTAAAGGCAACCCACCTACGTCCTGAGGACCTCGCTGCCACCGTCCAAGCTCGCTTGGCCCCAGCAGATGAACCTTAGGATTAAAGGGTGGGCTCAGTTCCGCGCACACTGTGTCTCACCTAAAAAATCCAATGCGCAGGCTGGAAGGTGTAAAGACCTTCCCCGGATCTTCGCTCGCGAAGACTGGCCATTATTATTATTTCATTTACTAGTCATTAGCAAAGCTGTATATTAGAAGTACATATTGTAAATAGAAACAGAGTAATCAGTTGTTTCACCCAATGTTTTAAGGATAACAATCACAGTCCTAATCTTGTTTATGCTATAGGACAGCAGATAGAACCTTCTCTCAAAAGAAACTCATTAGCAAAATATTAGGGGAAAAAAGCACCTCTGCAGTGAAAATAAAGTCAATGCTTCCATAAGCACAAACAAGACTTACAATGCGTGTATAGATTGCACAGCTGAATTTTAGGTACTGTAAAGAATTAAACATTTCAATGCAGGCAATACTTGTCACAGGGCATGTCAGTATCAGGCAGCGGAGGCTCATTTTATCATAGGGGTAGAGGCAAACTCTTAGCACGTTTATGGAATAAAATGCAGAAATGAGCAGTGAGTTATCAGAAATTATCTGACAGTGAAAATATTTTCAAATCATCAAATTCTCCAATAACAGATCAGGCTTAAAATACTTACCCTAAACAAGTAAGTTTTAGAGCTACTAACACTACTACTTGCTTAATAGCTAGGAAGGTGGAGAACTGGTGCATCTCTAACGTGTTTGAGACTTGGAGTTTCAAGGAAATTTTCCTAGAAACTAAGCACTTTAGCTCAAGTCTTAATTTTTTTTTTAATTTATTTATTTTTCCTAAAGATAAACTGACTAGGTAGAACATAACAATATTTTAAGTACTTTAATTGAGAATTTGGGCAACAATGGCTGGCAGGGATGCAAATAAACCTTTGCACAAATTTAGCAACACATGAGGATATAAAAAATAAATGAAATTAATCTTTACAAAAACCTACTGTAATGCAAGTACATTAGTAACATAAAGTACTGTTTATGCCTGCAGATTTAATTTTGAATTCAAGGGTTCAAAACCTAATTTTCCAGTAGATTTTGTGGTTTAATCTCAGTGCTTGGCTATGTACTTGATCTTACTTTTCTTAACTAGTGCTAACAATATTGATTAATGTAGGAACATTCCTGCTATAAACACTGCAGGGTCAGAGCACAGAACATTTTGATTTAATGCAGTAAAAGAACTCACACGTGGTACATAATTAAGTACACATCAGAGACTGCAGTTACTGCTAAACCATTCAAACCCGATTGCAGATACTTCCAAAGATAAAATGCCAGAACATGGTTAGCAACTTCTATTCCTTCCATATTTTACCTTCAGCTTCTGATTTAACTGATGAAGCTCTTCTTGGAGAACTCTGTTTTCTTCTTGAGCCTCGTACAGCTTTTTTTTCTTTGATTGTAACTCTCGTTGAAAACTGCTACCACTTAACTCAAGATTTCTTTCCAGATCCTTCAATTAAAACAAAACACTATTTTTTAATAACTGAAGTACTTTCTGTAGTCAAATTACTTAAATAAAATTACAGTAAACCAGTGTCTTGGATTTAGATATCAGTTCCACCATTTCTGTAACACTGAATACATTTAAACCCTTAATCCTAACTTCAAGGGGGCAGACAGAGCTCCTGCAGATGCTGCAGCTCATCCTTCTGAGTACTGAGAGGTGATTTGAGGACATAATGGGAACTCACACTACTTTCTGCAAGGCTCTTGCCACAGTGGACCTCCACATCTCCAAGACAAATCTCCAACCGACGGATAAGAGACAGAATTCCTCCCTCAAAGTGCAGGATTAGAAGGAAGAAGACAAGAAAGAATTTTTAACCTTTCTACTAGAAACTAGCCTGTGATTACGATTGCATTTACATACCTTCGTCTTGCAACAGCTATTTTAAATGTACTGATGATGAAAGAGGGAAAAAAAAATAGAAGAAAATTCCTAACTTTTTAAAGCATGATTCATTTTAACATTATCTAATATTACAAATGCTGAAATACCTGATCATAAAACTGCAGATAACAGATGGTGACACTACAGGGTGAGGTGGTTTGGCTGACTCAGTGTTTATATCTTGGTGCTTTGGGACTTATTTTACAAAAGCTTAGTTTTCAGCTTAATACTTTGGATTTCTACATTTATTATTTCTGTAACGTAATTTAGGTTTAATTACTAATTTAGACACCAAACTTTAACATAATTTTAATGACCAACATAATTTCAGCTAAAATTAGGATAAAATTTATGTACTATGTATAAAAATATCTACTACAAAAACAGTACAGCTACCAACAGATGCAATAGTGTTAACACAATTTTAAAGTAAGATGAGTTTATCAATATATTTACAATGTAGACATGCTTAGACATGTTTAAAAAACATAAACATTTTGGCTGGACAAAATTAAAAAAATATATCGGACAAATTTCTTAAAATGTATATCCATAAAATGTTCTAAAGATCATTTCAACATTTAAAAAACTGCCCTAATTTTGTTCAGCTGAGGTCTTGGGTGTGTAGAATAGTGGACAATCAAACACTGCATGAATGCTGTTCAAAAATTGAAAAATAATTAATATATATATATTTTTTTTTTTAGAATTTTAGTGTACAGTTCCCTAAATACCCAGAAATTTTTAACAAATGCTTCCCCTCCAAGAGGATAAATTAGATTGCATAGAGTTGTATTATAATTGCAGGCACTTCTGAAATATTATTATTAGTTATAAAACACTTAAAAGCACAAATCTACAGGCTATATTCTGAGAAAATACACTTAAATTGTAAACAGAAATTTGAATGCACAACTACCAGGTATGTAACTATTATAATCACCTTGGAAATAATTTACTTGATTCTACTTCTGTGTAAAAAAATACTGATTTTCTATTTGCTCCACAGCTGTGAAAAATTACAATTCATTATGGCAAGAAATATCTATTCCAGATTCTTACAAGACGAAATTCATCTCACCTTAACTCTTTTTTCCCTGTCCTCTAGCCTGCTCTCTGCACTGGCGAGTTTCTTTGCCAGGTCATCTCTTTCGGCAAGGTGCTTATCTGCAGACAGCTTTTTCAGTTTCTGCAAGACAATTTTTGTTCTGTACAGTTCATCTTCCGAATCTTTCAACCGTCTCTCAGTTGCACGTTCTCTCTCCTGAGATTTTCGTAGGCGCTCCCTTAATATTCTAATCTCATTGTTGTGCCGAGCAAGGAGCTGAGAGATTTCGTTTTCCGTATCCTCAAACTTATTCAGGGCTTTCTCCTGCCTGTGCTGAAGCCTCTTCAGTGCTCTGTTTTCCTTCTGCAGCTCATCTAGTTTGATGTGGAGTTCAGTCAGTTCATTTCGGAGCTCATTGATTTTCAGCAGCCTCGCAGAAAGAACTCTTTTTGTAACAAGATCTATATCTTTTGCAGGAGAATCCCTAGTAAGGCTCTGAGAACGGAAACCCCACCGTGTCCCTCTTTTGCTTGGTGCATATTTGGAATCCAATTTCTTTGTGGCTAAGAGAGGAAAAATAAAAAGCATGTTTACTATTAGACAAGGCAGTTTGTCTGCTCAGGCATCCTTCTTGGAATCCAGCTCTGCCTAAAACAATTTTTCAACACTTAGCAGAGATGGTAGATTTCAAACCAGACAGTAAAAGGCATATTAGACCTATGTTCCTTTTGATAGCTAAAAAATGGAGATCTATGTCTGTGATCTACTGAAAGAGATAATATTTGCAGCCATTAATACAGGACCATTGTAAAGTAATCATCTGCAAATCGTATCAGAAACAACAGTCATATTTTGATATTGTTTATTAAAATGGTTTAGAAATATGATACCATAATGCATACAAAATTATCAAATGCTTTAAAATGGCAACAATTAGCTAATCACTAGCTAGTTATGTATTATGCAAGATGTAATTCTCCCAGACAAATGCAGTAGTATTTTCAAATCCAGCTGCCGTGCTCACAGACAAAACAGCAGATTTCAAAGGCTCAATGCAAAAAGCCTCCAAAGCAAAATTATAAATCCCATGAAAATTCAGTTCTCCCTGAATAATTTATTCTTGTATCACAAGTTATTTTCCACACAGTATTCTCATTTGATTACTTCTATGCACTGCTTGCATTCCTATTTGGTATTGTTATTTTATTGTCATCCCCATAGATAAAAACTGCACATTTTGTTTCTATCTTATTTGCCTCTCAAGCCACACTCAAAAAATAAAGCATGTAATCCACCAAAAATATCTCTCAAAACAACTGAATTAATAGAGATAATTCATACAAGCATAATTCATTAAGGTACCTCAGTGTTTGAAAGAAATACACTGAGCAGCAGTTTATAATTCCAGCTTGAAAGCTGGGATACAGCAATAGTGCAGTTACCTACACACAGACAGTGAGTGTATGTGACAGCAAATTCTTCCTCCCCTTTGGCACTTAGCATGTTTCTATTCTACAGAGAATACTTTTCAGCAAAAATAACAGCTTAAAAATATACTCTTACAATTTCCTATAAAAATTTTGCACAAATGCTCATTCATTTTCTGCTTGATGCTCATTTTTTCCACAGCTTGGGCAAACAAAAGAAGGTGTGTTTTTTTCCTTTACAAAGAACACTTATGTCACACTCAGGTGTGAAAAGATTATCTAATACATGCACTGCAGGAATGATGCCACTCCTACCACCAACTATGGGAATTCCCATTTACCATAGACTTTCAGCTCCCTCAAGAATTTTTCCATGCTTAGGACAAATTTACCATGATTGCATGTTTGATCGTATAGTTAAACTGGGGAATAGCGTCTCTCAAGACAACAAAACATGACATTCACAATACCTTCATGTAATAATTATGTTCAATTCTGGCTATGTAATCAACGAACTGGTCACTCATTTGACCCCTTCAAATTAAATAGGAGCAAAGAGGAACTCCAGTTTTTGTTTCCCAGACAGCTAACCCATGACCACTATAGAGAAGATGCCACTTGGGAACACAGAGAAGCTCAGTAAAACACCAGTTGCACCAGGACACTCACACTGTCAAGGATCTGAAGAGATCCACTCCCTGGGCAAATTCAAGACCTTCTGGCACAATCTAGATCATAATGTTGACCAAACGATTCATACAGTATCAAGCACTTACAAATGAACTGGGACAGCTGCTCAAGAAAGGCAGGACATGCTATGACTTCAGCAGAAAATGTATACAGTTATTAAGAACAAGCTGTCAAAGCATGGCAGAAAGCCTTCACATTCCTACTTCAGCCCAGGACCTCTATAGCCATTCTCTTCTTTTTTGCAGGGATGTTCACCTCCCCACATACTCAATCAAGAAAGCAGCTTATGAGTGCAAGGGAGCTCCAAGTGGAGCTATGGCACCTCATGTTGGAAACACTTTACCCTCAGGGAAGGAACAGGAAAAGCTTTCTTTTGAATTTCTACCTCAACCTAACTGTCACCAAACCCATTTTCTCTCTTGCCACCTTGGTGGTCTTCATTTGTTTGTTGAAAGTCACAGCATTACCCTGTAAAGCTCAGTCAACTAGATTTCCACAAGACAGATACCTTTAGGTTATCTGGTCAGAGGAGCGTTGATAATTGTCTCTCTTACAGACTGCATAGTAAGGACTTGCCTTGGATCCTTGGCCTTGAGTTTTTCGTCAAAGAGAAAAAGCAAGCATCAGCATGATTCAACAAAGAGCTAGAATAAAAGCCACGTTCTCTTGTTAAGAAAAATATGAAGAATTCTGAAAATCACCAACACCCCTCCTTATGCAGGAAGAGATCAATTTCAGTTTACAACAGAGCAGTTACTGTCTACCTGCCATTTGTAGCATAATTCACAGGAACCTTATTTGTAGATCCTCATAATGCTAGTTTCCCACTTTTGTTTCAGTTTTCAAAGATAATTGACTCTTTGGAGCAGTTACAAAGCAGCAATTTCTGCTATCTCCCTACCTTGGTAGTGCAAAAGGCTGTTTGAAGTCTGTGTTTTGTGATGTCTCTTTTCTTGGCTTGTAGATGGAGAGCTTAGCGCTGGTGACTGGCTGGATGAATGAGATGCGTTACCTTCATCTGAATAATAGGAGTCACTATATTTATCCTCATCTGATTTCCTCTCATGTTCAGAATCTGGGCTCCTTACTCTTTCTCCCATTTTTCAGATTTAACAGCTTTCCAAATTTTTCTCAAAGACTGTTCATTTTGGCACTAAGGATATTTTCAGTTGCCACAATGGGAGCAGCTGGATTATTTCCTCGGGTTTATCATCTTCAACTCTGAAGCACGAGATCTTTGCGGTTCAGTTCAGAAAGCAGTAGTTATCATTCAGAATGCATTTCTCTGTAACAATTTAGAGAGAGAAAGAAACAGGGAGAATGGTGTTCTGCTGTTAAGAAGGAAAGGTAAAAAAACATGTAAAATTATTCAGGATTCTTACAACCTTGTTGTCTTAAGATTTATATTCAATGTGACAAACATCAGTCTCTTAACGCTACTAGTATTACATTCAGTAGTCTGAGGCACTTCAATTCCAAAAGAGAAACCAGAAAATCAACACAGAAATCAGAAAATTAAATCTAGAATAAGAAAATACTCCCAGGCTTGAGCGGAGAAAAGAAGCATTTGGGAAACAAAACAGAACACAAGCAAAAGTTTTATGCTATTCAGGAAACTAATTTAGACGTGTTTTAAAACTTTCTAACCAAATGAATTAACAACTTATCCATGCAACTAGAATTGAGATATTTGTAGAATTTGACTAAATCCTCCATTTCACAATTTCTGACAATCCAATGATGTTTAATAATGGGCTTGAAAATCAATTGTCCCATTTGTCTGGAGTACCTTCTGCCCCCAACCACTAATGAGAGTGTACTTACATATCACAATCTTCACCCTGGAAAGTACTCTCATACCCTCTATCATCTAGTGCTTCTTGCCTTTAAGAACTAGCCAAGCACACATGCTTTATATTATATATATATGTATTTATATCTGATAAGAGAGACCACACTGCTGGTATATGGCAAACAGTACACCTGCAGCAGGTATAAAATGAGAAGGGCCCGCTCCTGCAGCCTCTCTTTTGATATAAACTGCAAAAATCCCAAAATCTCAAGGTGAAATCACTTCATTTTTGTTTTTGGAGACAATTCCTGAGAATATAATGGAGCAAATATATTAAAAATTTTCCTCACCTTCTCAGTCAAAAGAGTTCTCTCAACAGTTTAAGCAGTGTTTTACTGACTATGCTCAGCCTCCCATGTCTTTTGTCTCTCTCAACACTCTTCACAGCTCTCCAGCTTATTTCTCTATCTCTCTCTTCAATCCAACATCACGCCCCTAATGGGTGAATAAATAGGCCTTGAAACCAGAGCCCATCAGTTCTACCTGTTGAATCACATAAGTTCCTAGCTCATTTCCAAACGACAAAGCAAATTACACCCAAAAAACCTGAGCAGCTTTCAATCAGAACTGCTCTAAGCTGCAGGACATTCAACATACCTGTAAATGAGCTGTAAATTTTTCACTGCATTATTTCCCAATAAAATAAACTTTGCCTGCTTCTCGGCCTTCACTGCCTATACACGCAGAATTGCATAGCCAAGCAGAACAGAAATGTCAGCTGCCAAGACCATTTTTATTACAAATTCCAGCTTTCAGGCACAGTTCACTATTAGCACAACTCCGTCTCAAGTGACTAGAATTAATCCATTTGCCCTCATAATCTATACAGAAATAATTAGAGGAATAAATATCCCATCAGGTTTCTAAACTGGGAAGCTGCTGGGAAATTAATAGTGAATTACCTGGAAAAGAGTATTTTTCATTATTTAGTAAGTAACTTTCCAAAATAATGTTTTGTAAGCATCTAAATATTCTCAAAGTGGTCCAAATAATAATAATTACACACCTAAAACTTACATCAAAGGATTCTGATGAAAACAAAAATTTCACTGCAAAGCCCAGAAAGAAGACAAGCTATGCTTATGATCAATTGTTCTACAGATTGCTAAACACATGCTTGGAAGACATCAGTTATTGTGAACATTCAAATTATCTATATTGACTGTTCTGTTTCCTTCTGAAATAATGAAGTTACTAAAGACTTTTCAAAAGTATAGACCTAGCCATAACTGTATTATCTTGTCTGTCTTTAAGTGTAATGAAGACCCCCACACATTTACATGAGTGCAAAATTAAGATCGTGTAAGAGCATTAGAACATATGAAGGTGCTGCCTCCTCCCAAACAGCTCCACTCCTAAGCCCTGGCCCCACACATACAATATATTAATATTAAAGTACTAAAATAATCTGAGATATAAAAATAGTACTCTGGAGGGCTGTAACACAGACCTCATATTCTTCCAGTCATCTTGGATGAAATAAACACCATTAAAACTAGTAGTTGCTTTTGTAACCCACATGAAGTGAGGTGTTGTCACTGAAGCCACAGGCTGCTGGCTTATTTCCAGCTGACAACATGGGCCACAAAACTTGCCAGACTTTGTCTGAACTCATCTTGGGTGCCTGGAGCTTTGCTACAGCTTCTTTAGCTGCAACAACTTCAGTTAACAACCAGGGAACTTGTCTAATTTGTTGTAGCTTTTTGCTTAGCTTTGTCCATTTATGTTTTAAAGTAACAGATAGCAATAACCAGTAGTTACTCTGTGAAGAGGGAACCATCTCTGATCTACAACCCCTGCAAAAATGTAGCATAGGGTGGTCCAGGCATGGGGTGACTGCAGGGGCCTGAAAGTGCCAACACAGTACAGTGCTGGGGCCCTAAGCTGTGACATTTCACCTGTGCTTAATTCTGCAGGAGTCAGCCTGGGGAGTTGGATAAAACCCAGCAACGCAGAGGACAAAGAACGAGTACTCAACATATGAAAAACACACCACGTGTAGTAAATTCAGATGGAATGTGGAACCATAAATCTATGGTCAGAATAGAACAGAATGCAATAAAGAGCAAGGTGCACAGTGTGTTAACAACCATGTAAAAATGATCCCAAACTGACACAAGGCAAGGAGAAAGAAACCATCAGCATCCTCCTCCTGCCACGGAATGTTGATGACTTGCTGTAAAGATGTCCCCCTCCCAGCTGAAGCCAGTCAAGTCGCAGAGGATGAGTGAGTGGGCAAAGATAACACCAGAGGATTTGGTACTGGAGTTTGTGTTTGTATCACTGTACCCATATGCGGCTTGAACCGTGCTGGTATCTAGACTAATACTAAATCTTTGATTAGATTGTTAAGATTTTAATTAGACCAACAATCACTTGTTGGCTCTGCATTTGTGTTCCCTCATAACTGCAGAATGAAACAAATTGGCAGGAATTCAAGCAGCCTGGTCTGTTACTTGTTCCATGGCCACTTCTGGAGCGCACACATCACTGTTAGAGGCACCATCACATCCAGAGGCGTTACCCCAGCCCTCTGTGGAGGCAGGGATTACTCTGTGAGGCAAGTACCTTCAACAGTGTACATACAGCCAAGTCACAAATTTTGTCTGCCTTCAGGGCACCGAAGGATAAAAAGAAATCATCACACACCGACTTCTTCTTGTTTGAAAACAAATGGGATGGTATTTAGGGAAGGTAGAAATTCCTACAGATCAATCATCAAGATGTCTACTTATGTATATATATGTTTTTCATAACTCATTGTATTTTAACAAACAAACTGTAAGAACTGGAGGATTAGGATCATCCATCACTTCTGTACTGGATATTTCCCACTTTTAAGAATATTTTGCTAAGTATCATTGACACACAGCAATACAAATGAACAGAAATTTCTAATGTATTCTGGAAGTACTTTGAAATGCAATGGACTGAAAACAAACCGAAAAAGGTGAACCAATGAAAGCTCCCTTGAGAATTGCCAAAACCATTTTTTGAATCTTCAAATGGTTTTCAGTTTTATAAATTATATAAATAAATAATATTATCATATTTTCCATACAAAATAAGAAACCTTAGTCTGTCAAGTCTTGCCAATTAATTTTTCCACCAGTTTATAATATAATTAGATTGACAAAAGAATGCACAGTTTGTCTTGAGAACAAAAGAATCACTATTTGAGTTTTACTTCAGTTAGCCTAAGGACTTTCTAATTAAGAAACGTTTTTGTTACCTGATTTTTCAATTGTTACCAACTAGTTTGAGCTGATTATAAAGTAAGTTCAGCTCGTGTGAATCCACACAGATATATATATTTTCCACTGTATATTTAATAATTTTATTAGGAATGAAACACTGTGGGTTAGTAGTGGGTCTACTAAGATCCACTACCAACACCAAAACCCCAATCCCCTCTCCTCAAGTCTCCATGCAGGTTTTTAGAAGCCTAAGGAATCGAGATCAGGTCAGTATAGAATGGCTGAAGTAAATCTGCACTTGCACAAACTTCAGAAAGAGTTTTGTTTCCAGAATTTCATACTCTTTCACTTCAATGACTTCTATTTCTTGCTATTATTTACATATTTTGTATTGAAAACATGTTCATTATTACAAAAAACAGTCAAGCACCAGGTCACTGCAAAGGACGTGACAGACAGAACAGAGGAATACCAAACAACTGAAATGGTGACAGGAGATTCTATCCCTATTACTCCTAAGTAAATCACAGAAACAGAACCATTGGACTACAGGTATTAAGCAACAGACAGAAAGGAAAACCACTCAGTAATTCTTCTCTCACACTACACCCAGAGCTTAGCTCTGTAATGCAAGACTCATAAAACTTTTTATGACCTTTTCAGTATTAACACCTTTCCGGGACCAGGGGACGGCCGGTGCTTTCCCTGGTCACCGAACGACACTTCCCGAGTACAAACACTGACCTCTAACGGCCTCCTCAGCTCTGCCGCTTATTCCGAGAGATGGACAGTGCAAGAAACGCGGCTTCGGGCAAGTACAAAGGCATCAACCCAAGCCATTAAAGCGCTGAACTTAAGAGCAAAGAAAAACTTCAAAAGAAATTCGTCTCACTCCTCTTCCTCCATCCGTTTGATATCCAAATGCTGTATTTCTTCCAGGAGAGAGAGGAGCAAAATAATTTAGTGTACACTCAGTGATGAGACTTCAGTGAGGAAGAAGAATTTTATTAGGGAAGTTTTCTGCTGCTTTTGACTTAACTGTATGTATTTCTTCCAGGTTTACCAGCTTCTCACAGACTCACGGAATCAATGAGGTTGGAAAAGACCTCTGAGATCATCAAGTCCAAACACCACCGTGTCAACTAGACCATGGCACTGAGTGCCATGTCCAGTCTTTCCTTAAATATCTCCAGGGATGGTGACTCCACCACCTCCCTGGGCAGCCCACTGCAACGTCTAATCACCCCTTCTGAGAAGAAATTCTGCCTAATATCCAACCTAAACCTCCCCTGGTGCAGCTTAAGACTATGTCCTCTTGCCCTGCATTTTTGTGAATTAAACACAATATGGTTTTAAAAGCCAACGTTATGTGAACCTGATTCTGTGAGAGTAATACAAAGTGTTACTTTCATCAGCTCTCAAAATGAAAAAACTTCTCTAAGTCCCAGGTCAGGGATGAGGAAACATCAAACAGGGAATGTTCAGGCCAGTCCTAAAACCAGGAAAAGGGATTATGTTTCTAAGTCAGACTCCGCCACGGAGGCCCGCGCCGTCACTCACATTCCCACCAATATCCCAGTGTGTGCAGACTTACCTAGTTCAGCTCAGCCATCCCTGGGAGCAGCTCTCCACTTCCCAAGGTGCAAGCGGGCAGCTTTCCTTCACCGAGCACAGACGTTCTTAAAGAATGCACCGAATGTTATTTTCAGTCAGCACTTCCTGACAACACATTTTAAGCCACCGAATCTAGCCACACTAGATGTCTTCGCAGGAAAGGGGCTGAACACCGGCGGCCCGAGACTTTTCGGAGGCCAAGCCCAGGCCTAGGCCCGGGCCCGCTACCAGCGCCCGCAGCCCCCAGGAAAACAACACCCCGCGCCGCGGTTCGTTTCCCCCGAACGCTCCCTCCGCCCCTCGATGTCCCTGCCACCTCTGTCGCGGTCCTGCCGGTGGTACCTGCGCAGCCCTGTGCGGCCCTGCGCGGCCCGGCCCGGCCCCGCCCGCCCGGAGGACGCGCCGGC